ACTGTGCTGCACTTTCTTTACTCAAACTGAGTCGCCATCTCTACACCCATGTTCACAGCAGCCGAAAGGTGGAAGCAACTCAAATGTCCATCAGCGGGTGAATGAATAAACAAAATGTGGTACAGACATACGATGGGAGTATTATTCAGCCTTAATTAAAAAGAAAGGAAAGCCTGACACACGCTATAGCATGCATTAACCTTGAGGACATTCCTCTAAGTGAACTGAGCCAGTCACAAAATGACAAATACTGTACGAATCCACTTATATGCGTTGTCATAGAGTCAAATTCATAGAAACAGAAAGTTGAATGGTGGTTGTCAGGGGTTGGAGTGGAGGCCAGGGAGCTGTTTAATGGGGACAGAGTTTCAATTTTGCAAGATGAGAAAGTTCTGGAGATGGGTTGCACAACAATGTGAATATACTTAACACCATGGAACTACACACTTATAATGGTTAAGGTGGTAAATTTACATTATGTGTATTTTTCCACAATTAAAAAAAAAAAAACAACCATGCCAGTCGTAAGGTCTTGATCACATTCAAAGGATGGGATTATACCAGGGTGTGAACTTCACCCAGGGGGTAAGGATCACTGCAGGATGCCTACCCCATTCGGTCATTTATCCAAAGTTGAAAAGAATCAATCTGTTTAATTAGGATTGAATCCAACATATTTGAAGCTACCTGAGTGCTGGCCACACCCTACATCTACCTGGCAGTACCTGCTGACTCCCAGATGTGCTCCTAAGAAACAGAAAAGCCACATGCAAGCCTGCTTTTGGAAATTACCTGGTAAATAGGCTGTGTTTCCAATCAATGAATCCCCAATTAAAAACCCATTGCACCACAGTGTTCTTTGGTCTCTATTACATCCCAAATGGAACAGAAAGGTATGGTAATGAATGGTTGCACTTTCACGGTCCACTCCTACTTCCAAGTCCTGACAGTCTGTTGTTAGTTTTAAAGGCCAAGGGTAAAGAAGGGGACTAAATTGGGATGAGCAAGAAGGGGAGGAGAGGCGCACACAGCTGGTGTCTTTAAAGTGGAGACACTGCTTTTTCATACCCTCATCAAGTCAGAAGAAAAGTATTTCAAGCACCCTATTTCCTGTCTTTGGGCCAGTTCTCTCCACTCCATCCAAATAAACATTATAAAATCTAATTTTCTTTTCCCACATCAATCGAAAGCAAAGATGCATTTTTCAAGGGCTGGGAGCCCAGCAGAAGCAGATAGGATATTTTCTGACTAAATGAGCTCATGTGCCGAAGGTGCTCAGCACAGTGTTTGGTGCATAGTAAGACTCGATCAATGTTCGCTGTTAATAGGATGACAATGGGCCAAACCCTGTGCTGTATAAGACCATATTTTGTCTAGTCAAGATGCTCTGAAATTCTTCAGGAAGACACTGCATGAAGCTCAGTCTCTCAAAAGCCCAGTACGAGTCAGGTTTGCCCCCAGCACTGTACAATGGTATTCCTTTGTTCAAGCACCAAAATTAGGAACCAGTTCACATTTAGAAGCTACACGATAGAGAAAAGCATAGCCTTTGGTACTAGAATCACACGGAGTGCAGGAGGATGCTCACATCCTAGGAGGAATGGAGCACTGCAGACTGACCAAGGGGCCAGGAGGTCCAGATTCTCATCTCATGCTCACTGTGGGGCATATTCCCATTGAGGGAATGACAGAATCATCTACTCTATTTAAACAACAGCAAAATACTTATTAATAGATTGTGTATACCTGAACTTGCAAAGCTTAAACACATATACACTGTAATACGACATAAGGTACAAATTAATAAACACGGCTTCCTGGGGCTCCTAGGTGGCTCAGTCGGTTAAGCGCCTGATTCTTGATTTCAGCTCAGGTCATGATCTCAGAGTCATGAGATCCAGCCCCACGTCAGGCTCTGCACTGCGTGTGGAGTCAGCTTGAGATTCTCTCTCCCTCTCCCTCTGCCCCTCCCCCCTGCTCACGCTCGCATGCTCGCTTGCTCTCCCTCTCTCTCAAAAAGTATATAAACACAGTTTCATAACATAATACCCTACAAAGACACCTTTTCTAGTATACAGCACTTATTGAATCCACTCTGTGCTGGGCCCCGTGCTACTAGGTAGGATCTGCGGGATTCGAGGGGGGAAAAGGCACGCTTCCTGTTCTTTGGTAACTAGCAACAGTGCCTCTCCACAATGGGCACCCTTGCTCGGAGGCTGTCTTACTAAAAGGCACCAGACAGCTGTCACCCACATGCTGACGGGACTCGTCTTCTGAGAGCTCACTTTCCACAGGGGTGTCATTTGGGTACCAAAGGCACAAAGCTGAGATTCTAAGGGAAGCTTCAAATTATGTATTTGCCAAGAGCTGGGCTTCATGTGCATGTGTCCACCTCTGACTTACTCTACACCTCGTGTTTATAATACGAGAATACAATGCTGAGAGAGAGAGAAAGGAGCTGGACTTAGAAATACAAACTTCAACTAGCCATCAGAGAGATGGTTCTTAAGGGCGAGCAAAAAATCTACTTCAGCAAAATGCAGGGACAAGCATGTGGAGGGTTGGGGGATGCTGCCAAAACCAAGTTTTAGACTTAGGGGTCGTTTTGCTGAACATCTCACGGCACCACTGGTGAGTCTAAGATACATGAACACATAGTAAACTCTATAGGAAACAGTATTTACAGAACATGTTCCTCCATCCCTCCTATCTATGCTCATACTTCCTCGACTTAGTGACTGTTCTTCCCTACTTGATACCCATCACGGCTGATGGCAGATGCCATAGGACAGACTGGCATATGTTTTGGTTTATAAAAATTTGACTTTGTGTGAAGACTAGAAACACCTTACTGTTCGATCAGCAGTTTAGAAATTCCCAGGCAAGGGGCGCCTGGGTGGCTCAGTTGCTTGAGGGTCTGACTCTTGGTTTCAGCTCAGGACATGACCTCAGGGTGGTGAGATCGAGCCCTGCATCAGACTTTGCCCTGAGCATGGAGCCTGCTTGGGACTCCCTCTCTCCTTCTCCTTCTGCCCCTCCCCACTTGTGAATTCTCATCTCTCTCTTAAAAAAAAGAAAGCAGCGCCTGGGTGGCTCAGTCAGTTAAGCATCTGACTCTTGATTTTGGCTCAGGTCATTATCTCAGCTTTGTGAGATCAGGCCCTGCATTGGGTTCCACACTGAATGTGGAGCCTGCTTGAGATTCTCTCTCACCCACCCTCTACCCCCACGCCTGCTCACTTGTGCATGCTCTCTCTCTAAAAAAGCAAAAAAAAAAAAAAAAAAAAAAAAAAGAGAGAGAGAGAGAGAAGAAAAGAAATTCCCAGGCAAATGACAAGATTACAAACCTCTCTAAAGTTAGTATAAAACAGTGGTTCTCAGAATTACTGTGTATTTGAACCACTTGGAGGACTTGTTAAAACACAGACTGTTGGGTTCACTTCCCGGGTTGATTCTGTTCGTCTGGGACGCAGCCTGAGCTCTGTGTTTCCAAAGAGTTCCTACATGATGCTGGTGATACTGGTCTCGGGATTATACTTTGAGAATCACTAGTAAAAGGAAAACTCAAGGAGAGGATTTTCCAGACGAGGACAATCAGAAGTTAATTCTACCCAAGATTCACCTCCCAGAGCTGTTCCCTGCACAAGTTTTGGCAAAATCTATGTTGATAAACATTTTGTCTTTTCTTGTCTATGGACCTCAGGCATACAGACTTGGACTGGTCATAATCTCTGATGTGTGACCTACCCTCACCAGTGGCCTACGTTAAGACCCATTCATTCATTCATTCATTCATTCATTTATTTTTAATAACATAATAAACATCAGCCAAAATAAATGCTAGGACTTTGAAAAGGACCTACTTGTAACTTCACTGAGCTTATTCCATCCATCCTGCCTCCCAACATACGAGCTAAACAGCCCACTTCCTCTTGCTTTTCTGGTTTATGATTTTATTCAGTCTATAAACAGTGGTACACACAGCAGAACACTGAATAACAGTCCAAACAAATGAACTCTACCAACAAACAATAATGTGGGTCAATCACAGCAATAGGATATTAAGTGAAAAGAGTAGTGACTGCATACAGATCATACCAGTTTACAACATTAGAAATATATACTTTTTACGATGACTTAATATGGATGTACATTTTTTTATATATATTTTTTAATCACTGAAAAAATACGTGTTTACCAGAAAAAGAGTCAATGAGTAAAGAAAAGTGCCCAGGCACTTTTAACAGAGGAGGGTACGACCCCACTGTATCCTTCTGGACTCCCTAAAAAGCTCACCTTCCCATCCCCCCAACTGTATTCCTTCAGATTCCATAAAATTGCTCTGAGATCAAGAGCCCTGATAGGAGCAGGCAATTCACACAAGAGGGAAGAAAGTAGTAAACATACACACGGGGGAAAATGTTGACTCTGCTCATAATCAGAGAAATGCAAATTAAAGCATTTGGGAAGCTATCATTCTATGACTAGTAAATTAGCAAAAATGGAAAAAACAGAACAGCAGTGAATGCCCAGGATATGAAGGTGAAACTGACAGGCAAAGACAATGCTAGCACCGGTGTAAAGAAAAGAAAAAACTGTTTCCAACAGCTGCATGTGGAGGTGTAAGCCATGAACTGTGCGGATGTCCCACTGTGCAGAATTTATCCTGAAGAAGTAACGCAAGGGAAGGAAATAATCCAGGTGGGCCCCAACAATGCAACAATTTAGAAAACCACGGTAGAGCATCCTGACCATGTGCGACCCAGCCGGGGCGAAATACAGTTTTGAAGAGAAAACGTATTATGTGATACTTCACATGGGAGAAATACGAAATCCAAAATGGTAGGTGCGTTAGAGGTAAAAACAAGGGTACAGGGGCTGCAAAGTAAAGTGCAAACATTAACATGGCTGTTGTATCTGGAGGGGGTATAGGTGTTGCTTTTGGTGTTTCTGTGGTGTGGTGATGCAATTATTTTTTTAAAGCTTTGGAGGCTTCCTACCTTGAGAGCTTTCACAGCTCTCCTCGTCGCTGTTGTCTTGACAGTTATTTTGCCCATCGCAAATGAAGCTCTTGTCAATGCAGAGGCCATTCTTACAGTGGTAGCGGGCGGTGGAACAAAGCAGAGGGTTTGCCGCTGTGAAGGGAAAACAGAGCACGTCACCAGGGAGCCAGCAAGTCCCATGCAGAACTCCCGGAATCAGGAATGTGTCCTGCTCAGGAAGCAGGGAGCTCACAGGAACCCCGAGAACCTTTTCCAGCCAGGAGTGTGTCCTGCTCAGGAAGCAGGGAGCTCACGGAAACTCCGAGAACCTTCTCCAGCCAGGAGTGTGTCCTGCTCAGGAAGCAGTGAGCTCACGGGAACCCCGAGAAC